CTCGAATGTAAGGGAGTGGTTTTCATCATGTGTGTCTAGCCTTCGCACCGCGCACATTCGCTTTCAAATTTTGCAGTAGCTTCACGGGTGTAGGGGGTTGGTGTGTTCAAATTGAGGTTCTCGCAGTTGCGCCGCGCACATGCGTGTCAATGCAACAGATTTTCAGATGGATGGCAGTTCATTTTCAAAATGTGGTGTTCGCGTCAGCGGCGCGCACATTCGCGCTGAATGTTTGCAACAGCATCACATACAGAGGGAGGCGTGTTTTCAAGGTGTGGTTATCGCCTTGGCGTCGCGCACATGTGTCCTAAAAAACCCAATCGATTCACGGATAGAAGGTGGCTTCTTTTCGAAATGCGGTGTCCGCCTCAGTGCCGCGCACATTCGACTGAAAAGTTCGCGACAGCTTCACGGATGCAGGGTGCTTATCTTTGAAAAGTTGGTGTTAGTTTCTGCGCCGCCACATTCGTGTTAGAGTTTTGCAGTAGTTTCATGGATTGAGGTAGCTTCGTTTTCATGTGTGGTTCTCGTTTCAGCGCCGTTCACATGGCTCAAAGTACGCGACCATTCCATTGTTGGAGGACGCTCTTTTCCAAAATGTGATGTTCGCATTTGCGCCGCGCACATTCGTCTTCACAGTTCGCACAGTCATCGGATCGGTTTTTCGCGTTAGCGCCGCGCACATTCGTTTTAAACGGGTGTACCAGTATCACGGGTGGAAGGGGGATCGTTTTCAAAATGTGGTTGTCGCTTTACAGCCGCACATTTTATCTCCAAAAGTTCGCACTAGCTTCACTGATGGAGGACGGCTCCTTTTCAAAATCGCGCTCTCGAATCAGCGCAACGCGCATTTGTTGTTCAACGCAACGTTTATCAGGGTGGGGGAGTGCATGTTTCAAAATGGAGCTTTTGCTTGAGATTCCGTTAAGCCAAAGGTCCCGAAGTTTCATCGCACGTAGCATTGCACGGATCCATGGCAACTCGCTCTCAAAGTAGAGTTGTCGATTGCGGTTTTCTCTAAGTGCATGACCACAACGGTAACCGCGTGCAGCAGTTACACGGACGGGGGGGCGATCCTTATTCGAAATGGTTTATGTGTGTTTGGCATGTCGTTGAAGTGTATGGTCATTGTTTGTTCGCGTTCTTGGCAACGCGCCAGAAAGATGCAAGGCAGCTCCTCTACAAATTCGGGCTCTCGCCACATGACAGGCCCAACGGCGTTGGTCTTTCCAGGGGGGGGGGGCGTTTCTTCTGGTGAATTGGAAGACGTGTAGGGGCGTATGAGGAATTGGACTTGTGACGGAAGGGTGCACTTAAGTTTCGCGCATGCATCGTTGGTTTCTTTTGTTATTCTTCCTCCTCTTCATCCTCTTCCTCCTCTCCCTCCTCCTCCCCCTCCTCCTCCTCCTCCCCCTCCTCTTCATCTTCTCCTCGACCTCGACATCATCCTCGTCCTCCTCCTCCTTCTCCTCCTCCTCTTCCTCCTCCTCCTCTTCCTCCTCCTCTTCTCATCGACCTCCTCTTCCTCCTCCTCAACCCCCTCCTCCTCCTCCTCTTCCTCCTCCTCCTCCTCCTCTTCCTCCTCCTCATCATCTCATCGACCTCCTCCTCCTCCTCCTCCTCCTCCTCCTCCCCCTCCTCCTACTCCTCCTCCTCGACCTCTTCTCCTCGACCTCTTCCTCCTCCTCCTTTTCCTCATCCTCCTCCTGCTCCTCCTCATCCTCCTGCTCCTCCTCCTCATCCTCATCTTCTCCTCGACCTCTTCCTCCTCCTCCTTTTCCTCATCATCCTCCTTCTGCTCCTCCTCATCCTCCTGCTCCTCCTCCTCGGAGAGGCACCGCCGCCAGGCGCCTCCGTCGCCAGGCTGGCCGCGCCACCCTTCCTGAGTCCGCTCGTTGTCTTGCTCCTCCTCTTCTCATCCCTTTCCCTTTTTCCACCCTCCCCCATCTTCCTCTCACTGGCGCCCGAAGCGCAGTGCCGTAGCCTGTCCGGCAAGTTTCGAGTGATCAAGCTGCAGTTTCGTAGTTGCTTCGGCTCCATCGAGGACAGTCCGTGGATTACCGATGCTTCGCTAGCTTTTGTTTCTTCGTCAAAGGGAGGTTCTGCCGTGCAGCTCCTACCAGAGCGCCGCAGGATCTCTCTGCGCGGCTACTTGCACAGGTCCAGGTCTGGCATGCGCAAACCCCCACAGGTGGGACCTTGCGACAGCCCTTGGGGTTCGGTGACTCCTTGCGGGAGGCCCGAACTGCAGTTCCTCGCTTTCCTTCCGCCTCTCCTCCTCCTCCTCCTCCTCCTCCTCCTCCTCCTCCTCCTCCTCCTCCTCCTCCTCCTCCTCCTCCTCCTCCTCCTCCCTCCTCCTTCCTCCTCCTCCTCCTCCTCCTCCTCCTCCTCCTCCTCCTCCTCCTCCTCCTCCTCCTCCTCCTCCTCTCCTCCTCCTCCTCCTTCCGCTCCTCCTCCTGCTCCTCCTCCTCCTCCTCCTCTCCTCCTCCTCCTCCTCCTCCTCCTCCTCCTCCTCCTCTCCTCCTCCTCCTCCTCCTCCTCCTCCTCCTCCTCCTCCTCCTCTTCTCTCTACCTGGGCTCCTCCTCCTCCTCCTCCTCCTCCTCCTCCTCCTCCTCCCTCCTCCTCCTCCTCCTCCTCCTCCTCCTCCTCCTCCTCCTCCTCCTCCTCCTCCCCTCCTCCTCCTCCTCCTCCTCCTCCTCCCTCCTCCTCCCTCCTCCCTCCTCCCTCCTCCCTCTCCTCCTCCCTCCTCCCTCCTCCCTCCTCCCTCCTCCCCCTCCCCTCGCACATCTCCTCCTCCTCCCCTCCGACGCCCCGCCCAGACCCGACGCGCGGCGCTGGAGCCGGCGGGGGTCTGGGGGGTTTGCGGGGGGAGGTGCACTTCGCCCCCTCCCCGTCCGCCCCTTCCTCAATGAGGTACCCCCTCCTGCAACCCCGCTGCTGTTTCGGTTCAGGGCTCGAACGCGAACGGCCGCCCTTAACTCCCTCCCTCTCCCCCTCCTCTTCCTCGTCCTCCTCCTCCTCCTCGAAGCGCCGGCCGGTCATGCCCCTGCGGCGGCCTGCTGTTGCGGCGCCTGCAGGTGACGCTGCCCCGCTGGCTATCGCTGACCCTCCCCCTTTCTTGGAGTGCTTCGAACTCGTGGAGGAGTGCCTGGTGGCGCTGAAGCGGGGGAGAGGGCGCCAGGCCCAACCCTTCGCTACCAGAACAGAGGCGGTTGCGACAGCGCTCAACCACGAGGCCATCACCCCGGCCACCCCGCAGCGAGGGGCGATGTCCCGAAGCGTCCAGGAGCACTTCCTGGAACTACGGGCCTTGACCCAAGGCGGGGCTGCCCAGGTGCGGGGCTTCCTGGGGTACCGTTTCCGCTTCTTGCAGCCGCAGGCCCGGCTGCGGGAGGGAGCCCGGCACATCGTCGCCACAGTGCTGGGCCGCCACCAGGTCCTCCTGGGCCTGTTCGCCCCCCCCACCCTGCGGGACCTCCTGCCGGGCACGGCGCTGCGCCACGACCACAACGGGTCCGCCAGGGAGGCACATGCACACAGCCTCTTCAAGGCGCCGCTGACACTCCGCGGGGCCGCCACGGGCACGCACAGAGGCAACAACGTTCACGACGCGTTCGCCGCCACCTTGGCCGACTGCCTGGCGGACTACGCCGCTGGTTCGGACTTCGACTCGGTCGTGGAAGCGGAGACCTTCGTGTGCCTCCTCGGGGTGGGGATGCATAGTCGGTGCCCTGACTTCGTCCGCGCCCTGCTCGGAACCCGTTTCGCCACCCCGGGCGCGGTCCTGGAGTGGCTTGCGCGGAAGGTGCCAGCCCGTCGGTCGGCGGTCGGTCCCGCCTCGACGGTGGCCCACAAAACTAAGAGCTTGACCTACGACTTGAGCACGTTCTCCACCTCGGTCGTCACGGGCCTGATTCAGCGGAGCCTCCAGGCGTTCGCCACGGGCGCTGCGAGGATTACCCCGGACGCGTTAGAGATCGATCCGGAGGCCACTTGTGCCGCGTGGGGCCTGGGTGCGTTGATGCGCAACCACGCGCTCGGGCCAGATGGCTACCTCAGCCCAGCGGTGGAGCGGTCGCGAGGGCGCCTTGGCCTGCTCGTGGGGGGGCCGCCCCCACCACCAGCGGGTCGAGCTCCTCCAAGGCACGCCTGTTGGAGCAGATCTTCATGGTGCAGGGCACGACTTGGGCGTCGGTGGCAGCGGTGGTCCGCGAGGAGCTCCGAGACCTGCGGCGGGGCGCCGCGGGCCAGCCGCCCACCTTCGCGGCCGACCAGGACGAGGTCCTCCAGCGGGTCGACGCCTGGATGGCGCAGTCCGCTGCCTGCAAGGCCGGCCAGCGCCTCGCCCGGATGGCATCCTCGGTCGCGGAGGTCCCGTTCCCTGGCGCTGCCGCGACGCCCCCCGAGGAGGTGAGCTCCCCAACCGCGCGGGTTTTTTTTTTACCAGGTTGGGCGCAGTCTTGACCGAAGTTGGGCAGGGGGGCCGGCGGGGGCCCCCGCGCCCGACGTTCAGCCCAAGGCGGCCCCGTCTTGGCCGAAAACCCGAGCCGGCGTCTCCCCCTGGTCCTCGCCGGAATTACGGCCAGCACTGGGGCCGTCTTGGCTCTAATTCCCGCGCCCCTCCCCCGTGGCGCGCTTGCGTGGGCCGCGCGCGCGATTTGCGGCCAATTCGGGGCTGGTCTTGGCTGTAATTCGGTGGCGCCCGCGGAGAGGGGGCGCGGCCCCCTCCCCCTCCTCTCTCCCCCCTGCCCCCTTCTCCCCGCCCCTCCCCTCTCGCCTACTCAGCCCCGCCTCCTCCGCCGCACCCCCCCCCTCCGCGATGGGGTGCCGCCCATAGGTCGGAGACCTGGCGCCCCTGGGCGGCGCTTGACGCGGTGCCGCGGGCAGCCGCGAAAAGGCTGCGGGCCCTCCTGCGGAGGCAGGTCCTCTTCTTCCTCTTCCTCTTCCTCCTCCTCCTCCCCCTCCCCCCCCCCATCCCTCTCCACCTTCTGGCCTTCCCGCCCACCGTGGCCCCGCTCAGACTCGCCGCGCGGCGCCCGAGCCGGCGGGGGCCCGGGGGGTCCGCGGGGGCTGGAGGCGCCCCCACCCCGCCCCCCCACCCCCGCTCTTTTCTCCCCCCGAGAAGGCGGCCCCAGCAGGCCACGCGCGGCAACCGCGGCAGGGCGGGGCGAGGCTGGGGCGCCGCGGGACCGCCGCTGCCCTTCCTTTCGCCCGTCCCCTTGCTCCTCCCCCTCCCCCCCCTCTTCCCCCTCCGCTCCTCTTCCCCTTCCCCCCCTTCCCTCTCCCCCCATCCGCCTTCCCCCGCGCCCCTCGCCCACTGCCGTCTCGCCCGACCCGCCGCGCGGCCCCTGAGCCCGCGGGGGTCAGGGGAGGTCGGCGCGGACGGGGCGCGCCCCCCCCCCCCCCCCCCCGCGCCCCCCCCCATTCCCGCTCGGCCAGACCCGCGCTGGGGCCCGCTCGCGGGGCGCGGAGGCCCTGCCGCGGCTGGCGAGTGAGCCGCGGCGTTCGCCGTGAGCGCCCAGCCCCTCCTTCCCCCCCCCTTTTTCCCCCTTTTTTGTTCCCCTCCCTCGCTGAGTCGAACGGCCGTGGGGTGGCCGTGGACAAAACACCGCGCCCTCCCGGATCCCCGTCGTGGCCCTGGCTCCGGCGCGCCCGGGTGGCGGGGCGCGGCCTGCCGACTGCCCCCCTTCCCCCCCCCTCTTCCTCTTCCTCCTCCTCCTCCTCCTCCTCCTCCTCTTCCCCCCCTCCTTCGCCCCTCCTGAATTCGGCGCCCCCTCCCCGGCCGAGCGTCCGATGGCGCGACGTCAGCCGCGCCGCCGAAGCCGGTTCGCCCCGAGCAGTTCGAGGGCCCCGAGCAGTTCGGTTACCGCGTCGGCCCCACCCCGCCTGCAGCGTCCGCCATGGGCCGCCGCCGCTCGCTGAGCCCGACGCCGAGGGCGACGAGTTCGGACGGGGACGAGCGGCGCCGCCGGCGTGAGCGCCGCGACCGGCGTCGCGATCGCAGCGGGGTCAGCTGCCGCCGCCGCCGCGAGTGGAGCAGGGGGAGCGGCCGCCGTGACCGGAGCCGCGACAGGCGACCCCCGCGCCCCCACCAGTCGCCAGCGGGGAGTTGGGCAGGCGCCGCACTCGAGCACCCCATCCATGGACGCGGCGCTGGGGCGCGAGTGGCCGGAGGCGCACGCCGCGGCCGCGGGCGGCGGCGCGCCTGGCCTAATCGCTGGGGGCTCGGGCGACCCGCAGGGGGCCGAGGCGAGCGGAGGGCCCCCCCGCCGCCTCCGCCTGCCGGCGCCGCCGGCGGGAGCGTCGCCACCAACGGCGGTGTCCTTCCCGCCACAGCCGCCGCAGTACGCCGCGGCGGCAGGGCGCGCTCCGCAAACCCACGTCGCAGCCCCCGCCGTCAAGGCCGCGGCGCTCGGCGGCCTGATCCCGACGGTGATAGGGCCCCTGGCCCCGGGAGGGCCGATGCCGCTGGCGCCGGGGCTCTTGGCCCCCCACGGGCGCCTGGGCACAGCGCCGCCGCGCATGCTTTCGCCGCCCAGCCACCCCAAGGCGGCCTCAGGAGGAGCAGGAGGAGCGAGCAGCGGGGCGGCACCCATGGCGGTCGGGGTGACCGCGCCGTTTGCGGCACGCGCGGCAAGGGGTGGGCCCAGGCTGGCGCCGCCGCTGACCCGAAGAAGCTGGGCGACGCCGGCACGGCCGGCAAGGGCTCGCCCAGCGCTGCCGCCGACCCGCCTTCGGTCGAGGTTTTCGTCGCCGCCCTCAGGGACAACTTGGACGACATCGAACTGTCCCTGCTCGACCTCCCGCACGCCCTCGCCACAGCGCAGGCCACGCTCGACGCGTTCGGCTTGGCCGCAGGCCTGGCGCCGCCACCAGGAGAGCCTACCTTGCCGCTTGTCGGCCCTGCTGGGCACGGGGCGCCCGGCGCCGGCGCGGCCCCCCCAGGCGACGCCCCTGCCCAGACTGCTGCGCTGCAGCAGGCGGTTCGCGCAGCAGCCGAGAACGCGAAGCCCCGGGTCCCGGGGGCGCCCCCCCTCGCCCTAGCGGAATTCAAGGCCCCGCTCGCGTCGGCAGACGAGGTGGACGCGCGGATCCGTGACTTGTCGGGGCAAGCGGGGCCCGCCATCCCAGCGCAGACCTTGGTGGAGAGATCGGGGGGCCGCTGGCAGCGCCCCGGCGCCCAGTCCTGGAGCGCGGAGCGAGGGGGCGACGGCCGCCTGCACGTGCTGCGGGCGCGGGTTCCAGCCCGCCCCTCCCTGAACAAAGTCACGACCGCGTCCGCGCAGTGGACAGCGAGCACAGAGGGCGCATGCGTGAAGACGGTCAAGGACAACTTGCTGGACTTCGCCTCCGAATGGGCGCGGGCTTTTGGCGGCATCAGCCAGGTGGCGCCCGTCTCGGGGGCGGCGGGCATCGCCCTCCCGCAGCCGGCCCCCATCGTGGCGTGGCTCCGGCGGGCGGGCGCCGCGGCCGCTCCGGACGCCTCCTCGCGCCGTTGAACACGCCCCGGGTCGCGAGGCGGATCGGGCGCCTTCTGCCTTGAGCGTTCTCCTCGCGCCCGTCTCGGCGCCTGGGTTGCAGGGGGGCGTTGCTGCAGGAGGACCTCCGCATGGGCCGGGTCACGGCAGCAGCCAGCCCAGATGCCGGTTGCGCGCAGGACGGGGGCACGTTGATTTTTGACCCAGCTTCGGCGCGTGGGCAGGGGCACTGCCCGAGCGTGGGCCCCGGCATGGGCCGGGCCCCCGCTGCGACCAGTTCGCGCGCGTGCCGGGGCGAGGCGACCGCCGTGCAACCGCTCGCCAGGGGGTCAGCCGCATGGGCGCCACGGGCGCTCGGTCCCTGGCAGAGGCCGGGACCTCAGCGCGCGCGCAGGCTGCGTGTAGGGACACGAGCGGGTTCGACGGAAAGGGCAGGCTCGCCGCCGCCGTCGCCGCGTCGCCGCTTGCCTGGCCCAGCTCTCGGAGCCGCTCGGCGGTTCTAGCCAACGAGCGGCCCGCCTTGGCGGTCCCCTCGGACGGGCGGTGCGGGTGGGCGCGTCTTTGGGCACGCTCACCCCTGCCCGCCCCAGGTGTCTGCCGACGTGGGCCGCGCGTTGACCGACCCACCGGGTGCTCCGTGCACCTCGCCCTCCGTCTACTGTCATCCCGCGTTCGGGCGTCGCGGCTGTCGGCTCCGCGGGGAAAGTCGCGTTTCCTCTTGATCCAGCCGCGGGCTGCTTGGAGGGCCGGGGGGCGGGGCGGCGCCCAGTGTTGGTGTCTCGATCGATCGAGCGGCCTTCGCAGGGGGCGGCGCGCGCGCGACGGTCGCGAGTGTGCTCGCATGGCCGGGGCGGCCGCCGACTTCGACCGAGGCCGAGCCGGGCCTGCCTGGGCCGCTCCCGCACGCGTCGCCTGGCCTCTCACCCCCCCTCCGCCACTTCCCGTCCCCGGAGCTACGTGGCGGATCTATAACAAGCGGCCCGCCTTGGCGGTCTCCTCGGACGGGCGGATCGGGGGGGCGCGTGTTTGGGCACGCTCGCCCCTGCCCGTCCCAGGTGTCTGCCGACGTGGGCCGCGCGTTGGCCGACCCGCCGGTTGCTCCGTGCCCCGACCTCCGCCCCCCGTCACCCCGCGTTCGGGCGTCGCGGCAGTCGCTTCCGCGGGGGTAGTCGCGTCCACTCATGGCCCACTTCCCTGGCACCGCCGCGTCGCCCCCCGAGTGAGTTCGCCAACCGCGCGGGGTTTTTCAACCTTGGGCGGGGGGGCCGGCGGAGGCCCCTTCGCTTGATGTTCAGCCAAGGCGGCCCCGTCTTGGAAAAGAAAACGCGCCGACGTCCCCCCCATGGCCTCGCCGGAATTACGGCCTACACCTGGGCCGTCTTGGCTGGCTGCAATTCCCGCGCCCCTCCCCCGCTGCGCGCTGGCGCTGGCTGCGCGCGCGCGATTTGCAGCCAACTCGGAGAGGGTCTTGGCTGTAATTCGGCGGCGCCCACAGGAGGCGCGCGCCCCCCCCCCCCCATTGGGATCCTGCCGTGGGCGGCACGGTGGGCCTGGGAGGCAGCGCGTCGACGTGCCGCGCGCGGGATGAAAACATGAGGCGGCAGGCCCTTCGGGGAGGATGCGGGCGGCGGGAGGCGCGGGCACCGTCCCTGCCCTCCAACCCGGTCCGCGCGCGTCCTCGCCGGTGAACGCCCCGCTCGCGCAAGCGGTGGCCGGGCCCTCGCCCGGCGCTGCCACGCTTGCGCAGGCGGGCGCGTTGCGCCAGCGACGGCAGGCGCGGCGGGGATGCAGGGGAGTCGCGATGCACGCTTGCGTTGGGGGGGGGGGCGTCATTGGGCATGGCCCGGGGGGGCTGACCGCGCGAAACATTTCAGCCAATTCGTGGCTCGTGTGGGCTGAAGCTCGTGCGGGCCTCGGGCGGGGTGGCCCCACCCCTTTTTAAGCCAACTTGGGCCGCGTCTTGGCTGAAATTCCGGGCTGTTTTTGACCCCCGGCGAGCGACCTCTCCTGCGAGCATGGGGCGCCCAGGCTGGCCACCCTTCCTTCGCACCACTCTGTCCCCTGCGGGCTCCCCATCCACCCTTCCTTCCTCGGGCCCTCTCCCCCGTCCTCCCCCCCGCGTGGCCGGACGGGGGCCTGGGCCTGGCCCCACCAGGGTGGCGCACCGAAGGCCCGAGGGCGGAGCTCGCCCACTCAGGTGGGGTTCTTCCCCCACCCCGGGGGCACCCGCCCCTCCCCGGGGGTGGGCCCGGTATCAGCGAGATCCACAGCGAGATCCTCCTCCTCCTCCTCCTCCTCCTCCTCCTCCTCCTCTCCTCCTCCTCCTCTTCCTCCTCCTCATCATCTCATCGATCCTCCTCTTCCTCCTCCCTCCCTGACCGACCTCTTATCCTCGACCTCTTCCTCCTCCTCCTCCTTTTCCTCATCCTCCTCCTTCTGCTCCTCCTCATCCTCCTGCTCCTCCTCCTCATCCTCATCTTCTCCTCGACCTCTTCCTCCTCCTCCTTTCCTCATCATCATCCTCCTCATCCTCCTGTTCCTCCTCCTCATCCTCATCTTCTCCTCGACCTCCTCCTCCTCCTCCTCCTCCTCCTCCTCCTCCTCCTCCTCCTCCTCCTCCTCCTCCTCCTCCTCCCTTGCAGGCTTCAGCGTGGCACGGCGGAGACCTCTTCCAATCAGCTCGGAAACAGGCAGCTGTGCGCGCAGTGCGCCATGCGAGGAGGAGGAGGAGGAGGAGGAGGAGGAGGAGGAGGAGAAGGCGGAGGAGGAGGAGGAGGAGGAGGAGGAGAGGGAGGAGGATGGGGAGGAGGAGAGGGATGATGATGATGATGATGATGATGATGATGATGATGATGATGATGATGATGATGATGATGATGATGAGGAGGAGGAGGAGGAGGAGGAGGAGGAGGAGGAGGAGGAGGAGGAGGAGGAGGAGGAGGAGGAGGGAGGGTCCGCAGCCAGTTTGGCTCAAGAAACCCGTGGCAGCGCGCCAGTCCTAGGGGGCCAGCTTCGACCGAAGCCTCAAGTTGTCCAAAATATGTTCGACATCCGACCTACCCCACTTACATCCCGTTTCGAGTACACATTCAGGTAACGCCGTCTGGTGACGTCATTACCACGACTCCGACAACAGACAACCCAGCTTGGCATCGCCGACTGCGTGAACAACCAGCAGCAGCACGCGTACTGCTACGAGTCGCAGCAGCACGCGAATTCCTCGGCCAGGACACGCAGCACCAGCTCTACACGGCACGCCAGCTACTAGCTGCGCACCACAGTGCGCAACAACCACCACTATTCCCACCACAAGTTCCCGCAATGTCGGCATCATCGTGGGACAATTGCGAATGGATCTGGAGCCACGCCACCATCATAGAGGACATCGAGCCGCCTTCGAAGGTGAGGAACCACACCGCGACCTACCACACCGACAATCGGAGCAGGCCCCGAGCGTTGGAGGAATAACAATTGGACGGACCAGTGGGCCGAGGACCACACTGGGAACAGCCCTACGGCGTGAAGGGGAACAACGCCAGCGGAAAGGGAAGCGCCACCTGGGACGGCTACAAGCCCGACGAGTGGAACCAAAAAGGCAAGCACCAGAACAGCAAGGGTAAGGGGAAGGCGCAGGCCCAACCCGACCACGATGTGACGCCCAAGGAAACGGCACCGAGCGGAAGCACAACGACCATATCGCCAACACGATCAGCATCGTCACGCCGAGGAGGAAGGTGCACGCCGCACGAAGGCATGACCAGGAGCTACCACCCAACGACCTCAAGTTGAGGGGCAATTGGAAGGAGACCAAGTACATCGAGCAGAGGCGAGCAGCAGCAACAGCAATTGCAAAAAGCAGGGCAGCAGGCCTACCCACTACAGACGCAGTGACACAGATCGCCCTCACCCAAGTCATGATCCTCAACAGCATGCCCCTACCCCAGCAGGCAAGGGAGATTGCCAACACCGAACGGGCCATGGAGGAGTCTACGAACACACCAAGACCCACCAGAACCAGGTGCAGATCTACATGAACGAGTTGGAGACCAAAACTGAGGAGCTCAGCATCCTGCAACGCGGTATCAGCAACGCCAGGGACAACAGCTACAGCGACATAGGCTCTGTTGACGCCGAAGCTGAAAAATATTTGAGAATCCGCCACAAAGAAGGGCGCCCGCCTTGGCTCCCAGAGGACAAACAAGGGCGGGGGAAACGGCAGAAGGACACGACGTCGGCACCTTGTTTTGGCTGAAGGACCACAACCAACGCATGGCCACCGACACCAAGAAGCACAAGACTGACGCCAACAACGAAACCCACGCCCTCTAGGAACTCATTCGTAAACAGCAGGGAAGCAGCAAGAGCCCAACCATACTACAGCGAGCCCGTGCGCGAAATCAACATTTCCAAGGAGACAACGGAGAAGATGGCGGCGCACCGCGAATTCGCACAGACAAGGAATACAGCGGCCCTCAACAGGACGGAGGAGGAGCTCGAGGCCATACAGGCAGCCATGAAGGGCATATCTGGATATCACGTCCAATCGCCGACCGACCAGCTACAGAAGGAGCTTTGAGAGGCGCAGACAAAAATCATCGATGGCAACCAGGACCGCGCCAACATGGAGCAACAGCTACAAGAAGCAGAAAGGCTCGCAGGCGAAAGACATCAGTGTTTCAAAAAGACAGAGGGGGCCGAGCAGCACATCGCCAAAAGCGCTGCCCAAGCAATCGAAATACGGATCAAGGAGCACAACGAGCGCATCATTTTGCACCAAAAAAGGGGGGCGCAGGGACGCAATCGAAAGGCTACGGACTCAAGAGGAAGGGGCGCCGAGCAAGCCCCGGGAGCCATACCTCCAACAAGTGTCGACCGACATGAACACACACACACACACACACACACGAGCAGAAGGCACACCAAAATGCACAACAATATGAAGGGCACTTGCAGCTACTATTACAACGCGCAGAGAGTGGCACTTCGCAACCGAACCGCAGGCGACCCCAACCAGCAGGAAC